TAGCGATGCTCTATGCCCAAGCGTATCCATGACACCCTTTGCCCTAAACCCTAAACCCTAAACTCGAGCTGCAGTTCTCAGCACCCAGGTCGGTGTCACTGTCGGACTGCGGATGCAAGGCTCGCGCTTGGTGGGAGCTCAGGCTTAGGGGTTTTGGGGGCGGTTTGGGGTTTAGGGTTTAGGGTTCAAGGGGTTAAAATTCGCACCCCTAAGGTTGTACCACTAATGTAAAGGTTCCCCGATAAAATACTCCTAATGTGGCCCTTATACTATACCTTAGGGACCTTGAAAAAGAATCCCCAAAACCCAAGGGTACAACCTTGAAAGGTACAACCCGTCGAGTTTAGGGTACAGGGCTTAGGTCCCCGAGCTCATAGGGTTGCAGGTTATCTCTCTGTGTCCTTTATTTCTAACTCGCACTTCTTTTTTACAAAGCATAAGGGGCTCAAAGACTATAGGCTTTCCAAGTAATCTAGGAATACCTTCCCCTAGAAAAGATGTCGGGGTTTAGGAAAATAACAAACAGTAGGATCCCCCACAATAAGGAGCCCAATAAGGCACCCCCGAAGTCTGCAAACCCGAAACCCCAAACCCCAAACCCCAAACCCCAAACCCGAAACCCTAAACCCTAAACCGTAAACCCTAAACCCTTAACCCTAAACCCTGAACCCTATCCAATTTCTGAAGTCCCCATGTAAGGGCTGTAAGGGTTAAAATTCTGCGCATCAAGCCGATCTGATGCTGCCTCACAACCAGTCGAGGCTCTCAACTCCTCGAAAACTTCATCTAAAGCCATGCAGCCCAATCTCCCTATTACCCTAGAAACCTGTAACCCCAGAAGCTGAATCCTTAGCCCTAAGCCCTACACCTTAAACCTCGAACCTCAACCTTAAGCACTAAGCTAAACCCCCAAACCTCAAACCCTAAACACTAGACCCAAACCCAAAACCCAAAACCCCAAACCCTAGAACCTAAACCCCGAACCCCTAACCAAGCTCCGAACGAACTCGGCTAAGAGGCCGGCTCCATCGACATCTCAGTGACTGCGGAGAGCCTCGACTGCGTAGCCTGCGGCCGCTTGGCGGCAGAAGAAGCTGCGAGCTTCAGGAGTTTTGATGTGTGTGCGAGGAATGTAGGGCTTAGGGCCACATAACGTAGCAGTGCCCACAATAGGGAGCAATTATTACAACAGTGCTATCCTTGGCATGATCTCCATGAGAAGACTGTGACTGTAACCCGGGGGGGCATCCTAATTCAGGGGTACAGGACTGTCTTTAAGACGGGACAATGCTATTCCACAGGAACCAAGAATATTTGGAGCACCAAGTTCCATAGTACTACACATGGCCTGTCGGTCTAAGGGTCGTTACCTATTCCCATATGGTCCCTTAATTGTAAACGCTTGCGCGCGCCGCCTCGGCAGCCGGGCCGGCCCCAGCACAGCACAGGAAAGGAGGAAAGAGGGTTTCGCAAAAAAAGGGAGGAAGGGCAGAGCGGGTGGGGGCGGGGTTCGGGGGGGGGTGGGGGGGGGGGGGGGTGGGGGGGGGGGGGGGGGGGGGTGGGGTGGGGGTGGGGGTTGGGGGGGGGGGGGGGGCGGGGGGGGGGTGGGGGGGGGGGGTGGGGGGGGTTTTTGAGGTGTAGGAGCCACCGACAAGCGGCATCGGTTTGCAGCTCCTCCAGGGGATTGGGGGGGGTCCCACAGGGCGGGGGGGGGGGGGCGTCAGAAAGAAGGGAAGGGGTCTGCTTGTGCCAGACGCTTCTCGGCAGGAAGCCGAGGTGAATATCGTCCCGTACCTCCTGTAAACGGTTCTGAAGTATGGGCCCTTGGGTTATACAGGGGCCAAAAGGGGTCCCCTTTTCAGGGCGCATATAAAGGAACCATGTAACTAGCCTAAAGACTCGGGGTCCATGAAGCTTCATATGAATCTTGGTCTCATCGGGAAACATTGAACACCGCACGTCCTCGCGTTTCCCTTTGTTGCAGGGGTTGGCTTCCCTTTAGAGCATGAGCTCCAGAGCCACCGTAAACCCTAAACCCTAAACCCTAAACCCTAAACCCTAAACCCTCCAGAAGCCCTGTAGCCTAGAAGCTCGGCGTCTCCAAGCCCGATAGCGCCCCCTATAGCGCCCCGAAGACAAAGCACCCCGAAAACCTCAGCAAGTAGCCAAACGCACGAAAGCTTAAGACCCCTTATCCTTTCTCAGGCCTAAACATGAAATGTCACAACCCTAAACCCTGAGCCCTAAACTCAATGAACCTGCTATACCCTAATCTTTACCCCAAGCCCTAGATGACTTCGGTTAAACCCTAAACCTCATATACCCTCAACCCTAAACCCGAAACCTTATATCCCCTAAACCCTAAACCCTAAACATCCCCAAACCCTAAACCCTGAACCCTAAACCCTAAACCCTAAACCCTAAACCCTAAACCCTAAAGGAGAGGGGCTGGACTGCCCGCCGTTGTCCTCACTCTCGGCCCTGGTCTCGGGTACCGCGCGCTTTGGCCCGGAGCGACTTGGTCCGGTTTAGGGTTTAGGGTTTAGGGTTTAGGGTTTAGGGTTTAGGGTTTAGGGTTTAGGGTTTAGGGTTTAGGGTTTAGGGTTTAGGGTTTAGGGTTTAGGGTTTAGGGTTTAGGGCGTGCCAAACGGGAGCGCGCTTTGGGAGCGCGCGGTAGTATGCAGACCTACCCACCCCAAGACCGCCCACTTACAACTCTCAAGGAGTTAAGACCTTTTATTTTTTTTACAAAGCATCACATGAGTCAGCACTCACGCCCTTTTTGGGGATTTCCACAAGGTGCGTGCGGAAACGAGGCAGGGTCCGTGAAGACAGCTTGGGTTGGCGCGAAGGGGCTATGAAGGGATGGGCTAGGAACAGACAAAGGCAGCGAGGCTTGGTTGGCGCGAAGGGGCTCCAGCCAGGAAGAACACACAGTGAACTGCTTGGGTCGGGCAGAGGGCCACGGAAACAGGGCTGGTGTGGCGGATAGCTCGGCTTGGCGCGAAGGGGGTAAGGTGGGGTGCCGGGTCAGGGTCAGGACCAGGCACAAATTTGCAACGGAAGCGAGGCAGGACAGATTGGGTTGGTGCGAAGGGGCGAAAGAGCGCCCCGAAACAGGACACAAGCTGGTGTGCGGACAGCTTGGCTTGGCGCAAGGGGGTAATATGACTCGAACAGGCCAGAGGACAGGGCAGAGCCAGGGCCAGGGCGCAAAACTAGTCAGGGCCAGGGCCAGGGCCAGGGCCAGGGCCAGGGCCAGGGCCAGGGCCAGGGCCAGGGCCAGAGCCAAGGTTTGGCCCCTAGCTTGACGTGAAGGGGGTAAGGTGGGGTGCCGGGCCAGGGCAGGTCACAAGCGACGGAAACAAGGCAGGGTCCGTGAAAACCCAAGGGACGGGCCAGGAACAGAGAAAGGCGAAGGGGCTCCAGCCAGGAAGAACACACAGTGAACAGCTTGGGTTGGGCAGAGCGCCACGGAAACAGGGCTGGTGTGGCGGATAGCTTGGCTTGGCGTGAAGGGGGTGCTCAAGCCAGAGAGGGAGAGCGCCGAAACAAGACATTGGCGCAAGGGGGTAAGATGACTGGAACAGGCCAGAGGCCAGGGCCAGGACCAGAGCAGGGCCAGGGCCAGGGCCAGGGCCAGGGCCAGGGCCAGGGCCAGGGCCAGGGCCAGGGCCAGGGCCAGGGCCAGGGCAGAGAGCCAGGGCCAGGGCAGGGTTAGGGCCAGGGCCATGGCCAGGGCTCAGGCCAGGGCCAGGGCCAGGGCGGCCAGGGCCAGGGCAGGGCCGGGCCAGGGCCAGGGCCAGGGCCAGGGCCAGGGCCAGGGCCAGGGCCAGGGCCAGGGCCAGGGCCAGGGCCAGGGCCAGGGCCAGGGCCAGGGCCAGGGCCAGGGCCAGGGCCAGGGCAGGCCATTGGGCCAGAGCCCTGCCTGCCCCAACAAAACGGCCCCTGGTCCCCTCAGCTAAGGGGACGGGGGTTGGGGACCCAGGGGTCTCCAGGGGCCTTCCCAGGGGGCCTCCCAATGGAGCCAAGAATGTGCGCGGACAGCTTGGGGTTGAGGGTAATATAATATAACACAGTGACTACTGCTGTCTCGGCCTGTGCCTGCCTGGAGGGTAAGCCTGCCTGGAGGCCAGCTCGGTCGCCCGCCTGGGGCTCCCTCGCAGGGTCTCACTGAGCGCTCGACCAGCGCCCGCCTACCCCAAAAGACAAGAGAGTGGGGTGGCGGGCGGGTTTAGGGTTTAGGGTTTAGGGTTTAGGGTTTAGGGTTTAGGGTTTAGGGTTTAGGGTTTAGGGTTTAGGGTTTAGGGTTTAGGGTTTAGGGTTTAGGGTTTTCGCTGCGAGTGCGCTTCGACCCCCTCCATGAAGTGGTTGGGGGTCGGCGCATGAGCTGCAATGCCCGCCCGCCCACCCAAAATACAAACCTTGGACGGGTTTAGGGTTGTCTACCCCCCTACCCCCCTATCAAGGGGGGATATATGGTTTGGTGAAGCAGGGGTAAATGATCACCTTCGACAAACTGTGGAGAAAACTCACCCTCTTCAATTTGCAGAATGCTTGGCAGATCTTCAACTCAAGACGCGGTAACTGTCAACAGCAATTGAACGAAGGCAAGTGCATTGTTTTGGTCGAGTAACATAAACATGAATGCATGAGCGCCGCTTCTTTGAGAGCCAAGATTCTGCGCGCAAGACAAATGCAAGTCATCTGGCATGCCAGGGGGAGTGAGGGGCAACTCCTGAAGCACTGTACCAAGCTACTTCCGTACTGCGCGTGCAACAAATCACCAGGCCTGTGCAACGAGAGTGCCATATGCAAAAAGCTGACGACCTTGATTTTCCGCTTCCAAAGCTGTCCTGCGGCAGGTTGAAGACACACCGTGCTTTGCGCTGCCTAGCGCCGCGCGGCACCGGTTTCTGAAGGTGAGACATGTCAATTAACTCGCTGTGGGCCACCTGTACGTGTGTGGCCCAATGATGTGAAACGACTTGAAAAGGACGTCACTTGGCTGGAGTGAAGTGATCCTCCGTCAAGATGCCCGCCAACAAGAAGTCCTTGTAGTAGCCGACCCTACTGATGGCAGTGTAGGCCGCGGCAGGCACCTTCGGGGCATCCAGGTAGACCACGACGTGAGGCAGCTCGGCGCCCTGGAACTTCAGGATGGTGGACGCGTAGCCCGGCCGGACGGGATAGTAGACCAAGCCACCCCTTTCCGGGTCAGTCCATGGCCAGACGCTGACCACGAACCCGGTGGCAGTGCGCACCAGGAGGCCGCCCGTGTTGTCGTCGTACTTCAGCACCGTCGCCTCCATTCCATTGACGAAGTCGATATCCTTCCGCACGTTGCGGGTCAAGTATACCCGCATGCCCTTGTAGACAGGCATAGTGGAGGGCTGCAGCTCTGCAGGTGGCTTCAGCTTGCCTTGCACATAGTTCTCAGGATTGGAGTCCACGTCAGCTGGCAAAGTCGCAATCGGAGGGTACTTCGGGAACAGGGCCTTCAAGGCAGTTCCATTGACCACAGCAGCGCCCCGCCTGGTGCAAGTCAGGATCGTCGTGTTGGGCTTGGATTTGAGGAGCTTCTGGAGTCCCTTCACCGTCGGACGGCCCGGCGGCCGCCACGCCATCTTCTTGCGGAGCTGCCGGAGCAGCTTGGCATTTGGTTTGCCGGTCCTGAGGGTTGCCAGCAGCTTGGCGTGCACCTTGTCCTTGCAGCGGTACATTTTGTGGAGGGCCACGCGGTAGCACATGGTGTTCCAAAGGCGCGAATGCCATTTGCGCTTCTCCCCCATACCGGGCATCTGGTACCGATCGCCCAGCAGCGCGAGGGCCGGCTTGCGCTCTGCAGCTGCCCACAAGCGCAAGATCCTGTCGAAGTTGACCATGTCCAGTTGCGAAAGCTCGTCTACGACAATGAGGGAGTACATGCTCAGCAAGGACGCCTCGCCATGCTCTGCAGATTCATGTAGGCCGAATGCGGCATGGCAGGTGTCGATGTCAATCTTGTGGCCGTAGCGCGCCTTCATGCGACTGGCCAACTGGGCGGTCGGCAAAGCCATCAAGACCTTGCCGCCCTTGGTCAAGGCACGGTCGATGCAAGAGAAGACCACCGTGGTCTTGCCGGTCCCGGGTGGTCCCAGGCACACGTTGGCCTTGCTGTCCCTCGCCTCTTGTCGCAGACGGTCCGCCTCGCCCTCGTCCTCGGCATCCTCGATGGCCAGCGCTCTGTCCACTGCGGTGTCCACGAGCTCCTTGAAGCCTCGGAAAGCCTGCGAAGAATTCTATAAGTGCACGCGTGCGCGAACGTTAAATTCCTAAACTACACAAGACATCTCCGCCAGATGGTTGATGTAGACGAGGCACGGAGTTGCTGTCTGTTGAACTTGCTGGCATCCACGGGGCCTGCTTTCTTCTTGGGGGCCTGCGTCTTGCCGCGGCACTGCTCCTGGTTTTGCCGGTCCTTTCGGGCGTCCAGGGAGCCATCAAGGTATTCCTGAAGCAAGCCGCGGTGCGCACGGATCATGGCAAGGATGGTGTCCACGTGATCCTTGGTGTGCGCCTCCATCTTCAGCTCGGCGCGGATCTTCTCGTCGTCCTGCCACATGGCTTGCGCCACCGAGTGCTCGCAGAGGATTGCCATGGCGAAGTATTTGTGTGCTTCCGGGAGCCGTCGGGCGACGTGCTCCGGCAGGCAGAAGTCCGTGGCTTCCTCGAAGGGAACATGCAGCATGAGCCACTGGCCAAAGTAGCGGTCGTTGAACTTGGAAACCGTTTCGGCGGCCACGACTTTCTCGCCTTGCATCACGTAGTTCGCAGCAAAGTCCTCCAGGGTGGCCTCGCTGCCAGATTGCGCGTGCTTCTTCTTGAGCCAGTGGCAGATCTTCCCCTCGGCCGTGGTTTTGCGCAAGTAGTCGAGGAGGCTGATGCGGCCACGAGCCCAGTCTGCCTGCTCGTACAGCTCCACCTCGCGCAACTTGGGCTCCTGGTCAGGGTAGGGCGCCACCAAGTCGCGCTTGCCGCCGCTCTGGGTGGAGAGGTGCCACTGGCGGAACTTGGCACCGAAGAGCTGCAGCACCATCTCGGGCTCCAGTGGCCGGTAGCGCATGAGGACGGTGGCGGCGATGCTCATGGCTTCGGCGTCATCGTTGAGCCACTCCTCGCTGGCCGCGTCCGAGAACTTGCTGACGTACTTGGTGACGTAGGCGCGGAGCAGGCCGTCGTCGTCGCACATCTGGAAGTCTTGGTGGCAGCGGAGCACCTCCATGAGATCAACGAGGTAGGGGCGCAGGCCTTCGGCGTGGTCGTCCTCCGTGTGCTGCAAGCGCCAGACCCCTGTCTCACGGTCAAAGCAGGTTGGTGCCTCGTGGATAGGCCAGCCACTCTTCTTGTCCTGGTCGTACTGGCTGCCTTCGACGTAGCCACGGAGGTCCGAGTCTTCGGGCAGAGTGGCGGACACAGTCTCGGCCAAATCCAGCTGCTCGACGTCTTCAGGCTTCACAAAGATGACGACGTGCACGTGGACACGGCCCGAGCCGTGGTAGTCCTGCGTGGCTGCCTTGCGGGTCCCATCTTGATATTCCAAGCGCAGGAAGAAGTGCAGGCGGCGGGCCTGGCCCTGCTCGTCAAGACAATGGAAGATGTTGCTCTTCCAAGCCTTCTGCCGCCCCCGTCCCCCGGTGCGCCCCAACAGCAAGCCTTTCACGGTTTGGACCATGACGTGCACAATGTGCAGCGTCTCCGCCACCGGCAGGAAGAGGCGCTCCTTGAGCAGCTTCTGCATCTCGTCGCGGACCCACTCGTGGTAGGGGAAGCTCCACTCGTAGGGGGCTATGGTGAAGAAGATGCGAGGGTAGCCCACCTGCCGCACCATGTCCAGCAAGGCATAGTGCACGCCACGCCAATAGTGGGGGCTGAAGGCCTCGCCTTTGAGCATGAGACGCATGGGCGTCGGCAGCTGCAGGTTCTTCTTGGAACCGATGCTGCTCCAGAGGTTGAGGTCATAAACGAACTGGAGAAGCTCGAAATCCCCCGCGTAGCCCAGGAGACGACCCAGCGCCAAAGCAGCAAAGAGACGTTTCATGCTGTGGCGTGTGGCGTCATTTGCTTCTGCGTCCTCCTCATCTGCCACCTGGCTCTCCTCTTCGCTGTCGTCGTTGCCCTCAACCTCCTCATCGCTTTCTGCAGCAGGAAAGGCTGCACGCTCAGCGGCCCGACCGGCATTCAGCACGTCCTCCAAGGTGGCTGCCCGCTCCTGCCGAATCACCCGCCTGGGATCCGTGGCACGCTCGTGAGTGAAGGTGCGCTTCACATCCCAGAACAAACCAGGCCAGAGGGCGCACTCCACGCCGAGACGTTCAATGAATTGCAGCCGGCGACGGCGAGTGAGCTCGTCGGCGCCGGGGTGTTCTTCCAGAAACTCCGCATGCTCGGCCACAAAGGTCGCATAGGGTGTGTCGTCCGAGGCCATCAAGAAGTCGTAGGCTGCGCGGGCCTTCGTCCGCATGTTCACGTCCTGGCCATGTCAGGGAGCAAATGCGTTGTGGAAAACATCGAATTGTGAGTAGTACTTTAGGAAACCTGTGTACTCTACGCCTAGCCTGCAAGTGCTTGATGCGCCTCTTCACTGTAGTCGTTTGCCAGCGGAAGCGGATCATGGTCGTCTTCTGGCGGTAGCCGGATTTGTGCTCTGCGCGCACGACCGGGCCCACGTCGATCTCCAAAGGCGACAATGCTTGCGCAGCCTCTGCAGACAGCTCCCGCAGAACCTCTGGCACATCAGCCAGCGTCACCACCGGCTGCACGCGCGCAGCTTTGCATCTGGAGCACTTGCCTGAAGGATTGGTGGGTGGCTGGGGCTTGTTGAGCGTGCTCTCTGTGAGGTCGCGAGGCGCGAGGAGGCCGCAATTCTCGCACATGCTCCAGGAGTCGAAAAGGCACCAACGCTCGAAGTCCTCGACCAGCCGGCGGCGCTTCGCCGGGGGCAACCCAGTGGTATTCTCGACGGCCTCGCCAGCCGGCGTTCGCTTTGAGGGCTGGCCCATGCGGCGCCGTGCCCGAGCCCTGTCTGCCAGAACCTGCTCTCGATATTTCTTCTTTGTCGCAGCCGACGCTGGGGCTGCAGCTGTCTGCCGCGATGCCAGGGCACCTCTCCACAAGATGGGGAGCTCCTGCCTGTCCAGCAGGCGCCGGCTTCCCCGCCCAGCCGCGCGCTTGGGCGCCGGACCCTGCAGCTGCGCTTCAAAATATTCTACCGTGTCGGGCGGCAGGCGTTCGTCCAAAGCACGGGCACGGGCAGCCACTGATAAGCGCCGGAGCTTGCCCAGAACCTGCAAGAGCGTATGTTTCTGCACTCATGTTCTGCGCACTTCTGTACGTCATGCAGAAAAAGAGCACAGAGACTTGGTTGAGTGGCCTCTCGCTTGCCAGCTTCCTCCGCGCACAGTGGCCATAGATCTTCAGGTCGACAGAACAGGCAGCGTGTGCTTCGGCCCGTCACCTGAGCTGGGCCTCCACGTGCTGCAAGAGCAAAGGCGCAGCGCTCGCCGCTCATGCCCACGCACACCTTGGGCTTGGCCAGTTCTGCTTGGAAGTAGCCACGGAAGTCCTCCGGCACCCGCTCCAAGGCCAGGCGTTGGTACTCGGGGGTCAAAGCCAACAGCAGGCGCTTTATTTGTCCACGCGATTGTGGCTGGACACAGGCGGTGGCCAAACGATCTGGATCACAGAAGACCTCAGGCAGCAACGCAGCTCGATCAAAAATGCCTGCGCAATGGGCCATGGCTCTTTTGCAACTTCTGGCTTGCTGCAGACAGTTCAACAGCAGCTCATCTGCCGTCAAGGCGCACATGCAAGAAATGCACCTCGCTGCGCTGCACGGCCCGGGCTTTGCGCCGAGAAGCAACAAGGAGAAGCCGCTGTGCCAGGACACACGGAGGGCATGGCTCGGACAAGTGGAAAACTCCTGAGATCGACGAAGTGCGAGCCAGGGCAGAGCGAGAACACAAATCAAACCTGTTCCTCCAATCAGCAGGCTAGCTTGGCTAGATTGAAGAATTATGAGGCTCCAACAGCAGCGCAGGGTCGCTTTTGTGCGTCTCAGCTGGAGCACGTTGAGGTGTGTGAAGCTGTGCAGCGGGCTGCGCCTGTGATGGTTTTGCGCTGCCACGACTTTAGCCTGAACTTTGGACACTTGCACAGGTGCGCGCTCAATCATCCCCCGGCTCATTCTCCACAGCCTCGATGACCACAGGCGCTTCTGGCGGTCCTCCCTCCTCGGGCAAGCCGGCGTCCGCCGCCAGCCGGGCCTGCTCATGAATGCTCTTCGCCTTGGCCACCATGTCCTGCATGGTCTCGAAGATATTGATCAGCTTGTCCTTCTTCGGCAGGCGTGTCATCTGCTTCAACGTCTGCAGAACCTTGGCCAGCCCATGCTCCGTCAGCACGGCCTCGGGCACGTTATCCAGGAGAGCGACCAGCACGTACAGTGGCAGCCTATTCTTTTTGTTGTCCTGGTTTGTAACCATGGTCTGCAACTCATCCGCAAACTTGGCCACCTCGGACTCTGCCCAGGACAGACGCGGGTCGAGCCCCGGAGTTTCTGCCTCCTCCTCCTCCTCCTCCTCCTCCTCCTCCTCCTGATCCTCCAAGGAAAGCTCAACGGTTGCCGGCCTCGCCGATGTCGCCCGCTTCTTCGGAGCTTCGGCTTTCTTCAGTTTCTTCTTCTTCTCCTTCTTCTTCTTCTTCTCATCACTTCCATGGGAGTGGGAAGAGGAGGAGCCGGATTTGTGGTCGCTTTCGCTGCCAGATTCCTTGGTTTCGGAGTTGTTCTCCGACTCAGACCCGGACTCCTCCTTGCCAGCTGCTTCCTCGCTGCTGTCGCCAAAGGCCCGTTTCTTGCGGGGAGCTTTCGCTTCCAGGCGAGCCGCGTTCGTCGCCGCGACAGCTTCCACGCAACTGTCCAGAGTCTTCTTCTGCATGAACTTCCGGATGGGTTTGTCCTGCTTGGACTCCTCCGGGATCTTCTTTGCCCACGCCTTCGGATTGGACGCGAGAGTGCAAAGCTCCAAACCAGCCATAGCGCCAGCGTACATGCGTGAGGCTGTGTCTGCCAGTCGAGCAAAGTCCTTCACCCGCTGCTGCAGAGCCTCCTTCTTCCCAAGCTTCTTGAGCACCTTCTCGGCATGCGGCTTCAAAGAAGATGCAGATGAGCACGCCTTGTTTGACAGGTTGACGGCCGCCAAAGCACTGCCCAAGGGCTCCAAGAGCTTCTTGACAGCTGGAATTCCAGTTTGCCCAAACTTCTTCTCAGACGATGACGGAAGCACCGCCAAGGCAGCTGCGCAGGATTCCAACGAGGCAGAGGCCATGCTGACGCCCAGGCCTGGCCGAGCGATGCACTCCGAGGTCTCTGCTGTAAGCTGCTCGGTCAGCGTGGAGGTGGTGAAGTATTCCGTCGGCGCTTGCTTGTCCGTCAGGAGCACGCAGCCATCCTCATCGGGCCAGCTGCGGAGAAACGCTTTCAGGGGCAGCTTGTAAAACGGTACACCTGGAGGGTATTTGCCCTTCGCCTTGCTATCCTTGGCGACGTGCTTGCCTGTCGATTTCCGTGGGACCCACTTGCCCATGGCTGCTGCAAGTCAATGACCTAAAACTGGACTACTAAAGCTGGAAGCTCTCACTTTTGCGCAGCACAGCTATCGGAACGGCCCCACGCTGCTGCTGAACTCAGTAAAGTCACAAAGCGCGGCAGATGATTTTTCTCAGTTGCGCACGACCACAGTCATGTGGCAGCAGACCGCAGTCATGTGGCAGCAGTGAGGAATGCTATTTCGAAGAACAAGCAAAAGTTGCAGACCGGCAGCCCAAGTTGCACCCATCAATCTATTTGTCTTCATTGTCCTCGACTCGAACCAGCCCTTCCCCAAGTCCAGGTCTTGAACAAGCCCTCCAGGTAGTCCTCCTTCTTCGCCCCGTAATAAACTGGTGCTCCAGGCCATCGTCCGTGCACAGACAAAGGATTCAACATAATGTTGTTGCTTAAAAGAAAAACGAAACGCAAAGCCTTGCTCAGACCAGGTCACCCCACACCCGAATCACCCCAAGAATGGATCACCCCAACGACTGGGTCACCTCAGAGCTGGGTTTGCCAGAACTGAGTCACCCCAGCGCTGGGTCACTCCAAAAGCTTGAGTCACTTCAGGAATGGGTCAACCAGGCCTGTCTGCAGCCGAAGGCGCTTTGCCCAAGCGTTCTATTTGTCTTCAATGTCCTCGATTCGAACTAGCCCTTCACAAAGTCCAGGTCTTGAACGAGCCCTCCAGGAAGTCCTCCTTCTTCGCCCCGTGATAGACTGGTGCTCCAGGCCATCGTCCGTACAGACAAAGGATTCAATGCAATGTTGACATTCAAAAGACAAACGAAAAGCAAAGCCTTGCAAAGACCAGCAGCCGAAGTTGCGCCCATCAATCTATTTGTCTTCAATGTCCTCGACTCGAACCAGCCCTGCGCAAAGTCCAGGTCTTGAACGAGCCCTTCAGGAAGTCCTCCTTCTTCGCCCCGTAATAAACTGGTGCTCCAGGCCATCGTCCGTGCACAGACAAAGGATTCAACATAATGTTGTTGCTTAAAAGAAAAACGAGAAACGCACAGCCTTGCTGAGACCAGGTCACCCCATACCCGAACCACCTCAAGAATGGATCACCCCAAAAACTGGGTCACCTCAGAGCTGGGTGTGCGCCAGAACTGAGTCACCCCAGCGTTGGGTCACTCCAAAAGCTTGAGTCACTTCAGGAATGGGTCACCCAGCCTTGTCTGCAGCCGAAGGCGCTTTGCCCAAGCGTTCTATTTGTCTTCAATGTCCTCGATTCGAACTAGCCCTTCACAAAGTCCAGGTCTTGAACGAGCCCTCCAGGAAGTCCTCCTTCTTCGCCCCGTGATAGACTGGTGCTCCAGGCCATCGTCCGTACAGACAAAGGATTCAATGCAATGTTGACATTCAAAAGACAAACGAAAAGCAAAGCCTTGCTATTACCAGCAGCCGAAGTTGCGCACATCAATCTATTTGTCTTCAATGTCCTCGACTCGAACCAGCCCTGCGCAAAGTCCAGGTCTTGAACGAGCCCTTCAGGAAGTCCTCCTTCTTCGCCCCGTAATAAACTGGTGCTCCAGGCCATCGTACGTGCGCAGACAAAGGATTCAACATAATGTTGTTGCTTAAAAAAAACGAGAAACGCACAGCCTTGCTGAGACCAGGTCACCCCACACCCGAATCACCTCAAGAATGGATCACCCCAACGACTGGGTCACCTCAGAGCTGGGTTTGCCAGAACTGAGTCACCCCAGCGCTGGGTCACTCCAAAAGCTTGAGTCACTTCAGGAATGGGTCAACCAGGCCTGTCTGCAGCCGAAGGCGCTTTGCCGCATTCTATTTGTCTTCAATGTCCTCGATTCGAACTAGCCCTTCACAAAGTCCAGGTCTTGAACGAGCCCTCCAGGAAGTCCTCCTTCTTCGCCCCGTGATAGACTGGCCTGGCAGACAAGGGGTTCAATGCTGTTATGCTGTAAAACGAAAACACACTGTCTTGCTAAGCTCAGCAGCCGAAGTTGCACACATCAATCTATTTGTCTTCAATGTCCTCGACTCGAACCAGCCCTTCACAAAGTCCACGTCTTGAACGAGCCAGTCCTCCTTCTTTGTCCCCGGGATAAGCAAACTGGCCCTCCAGGAAGTCCTCCTTCTTTGTCCCCGGGAGAAACAAACTGGCCCTCCAGGAAGTCCTCCTCCTTTGTCCCCGGGATAAGCAAATTGGCCCTCCAGGAAGTCCTCCTTCTTTGTCCCGGATAAGCAAACTGGCCCTCCAGGAAGTCCTCCTTCTTTGTCCCCAAAAGAAACAAACTGGCCCTCCAGGAAGTCCTCCTTCTTTGTCCCCGGGATAAGCACATTGGCCCTCCAGGAAGTCCTCCTTCTTTGTCCCCGGGATAAGCAAACTGGCCCTCCAGGAAGGCCTCCTTCTTTGTCCCCGGGAGAACCAACTGGCCCTCCGGAAGTCCTCCTTCTTTGTCCCGGGATAAGCAAATTGGCCTTCCAGGAAGTCCTCCTTCTTTGTCCCCGGGATAGCAAACTGGCCCTCCAGGAAGTCCTGCTTCTTTGTCCCCGGATAGCTAACTGGCCCTCCAGGAAGTCCTCCTTCTTCTTTGTCCCCGCGGGAGAAACAAACTGGCCCTCAGGAAGTCCTCCTTCTTTGTCCCCTGGCCCTCCAGGAAGTCCTCCTTCTTTGTCCCCAAGAAGCAAACTGGCCCTCCAGGAAGTCCTCCTTCTTTGTCCCCGGAATAGCAAACTGGCCCTCCAGGATGTCCTCCTTCTTTGTCCGGGATAAGCAAACTGGCCCTCCAGGAAGTCCTCCTTCTTTGTAAGCAAACTGGCCTTCCAGGAAGTCCTCCTTCTTTTTCCCCGATAGGCAAACTGGCCCTCCAGGAAGTCCTCCTTCTTTGTTCCCAGAATAAGAAATTGGCCTTCCAGGAAGTCTTCTTTCTTTGTCCCCAGGATAAGCATATTGGCCCTCCCGGAAGTCCTCCTTCTTTGTCCCCGGGATAAGCAAACTGGCCCTCCAGGAAGTCCTCCTTCTTTGTCCCCGGGAGAAACAAACTGGCCCTCCAGGAAGTCCTCCTTCTTTGTCCCCGGATAAGCAAATTGGCCCTCCAGCAAGTCCTCCTTCTTTGTCCCCGGGAGAGCTTCTTTGTAAGCAAACTGGCCTTCCAGGAAGTCCTCCTTCTTTGTCC